TGGTGATTTTCTTAAAGGTGTTTTCTTTCTCCTGATAGGTACTATATATGTTTTGATAGTATTGTTCATTTCTATATTATCTGGGATAGAAAAATCCAGGTTGATGAATATTGATTGATTATCTTTATGTAGATCTTGTACTAATGGTTGTAATTAATTGATTGTTAAATTTGATAGGTTTGATTGGTGGTTTCCTGAATAATGGCTGAACTCTAATTGGTTAGGAGTTTTAGTTAGCTGAAGTTTTTGATTGATAGTTGTTCTTAGATTTGATTGATTTAAAAGATTATTAAAAATCTTAAAAGATGAATCTATTTCACTAAAAGATGATATCTGTAAAATAGATAGTTGATTTGTTTTTTCTAGTTAATAGGTTGTTGTAAGAGTGAATGTTTTTGCTTTTTTTTTTATGTTTTTGTTTATTTGAATCATGTTCCAGGATATATATTTTGAATAATTTCAACCTTTTGACAGTACTTTCTGAAGAATCTCATTTCTGAGTTGACCATTATTTGTAAAGATTTTTTGGAGTGAGTTGTGAAAGTCTAAAAATTCATCTAAAATCTGAAATAGTTTCTTTTTAAGAACTGAAACTTGTATTAAAAGATTTTTATGATCCTTTAAAGTTATGAACTCAATCTGAAATATTGACAGATTTGTAAACTCTGGTCTAAAAACATTTGTAATAGGAATGAGCCATTTTTTTGGATAATTACTGAGCAAAGGAATTGTTGTTAATCTGAATGGATCTATTAAAGTGATTTCTTGATTCTCATTTTGATAAATTATAGATATATAGTATCAGGTTCTATTTATGATAATAATATCTAATAATAGATTATTGTTATTGTTGATACTTGTGTGAGGCATTGTTGTTGGTATTGAAATTTTGTTATCTGAAATTATATTGGGATTTGGTTTGGTTATTGTTTGGATATATCAAAATAAATTTGGACATGTATTTTGGTGATTTATTTCAGTTGTATTTATGTGTTTGTATTTATATGTTGATATAGTTGACATGTTGAAGTTGTTGTTGTTAACATATTTTATTGTTATGTTATTGACATGTTTGGTTTAATGATGTGTTTGTATTAATAGTATGACTATATTGTTGACATGTTTGTTTTGTTACTGGATATGTTTGTTTATTAATATGTATTTGATTTGCTTAATATATTAGTGATGCAATCACTTACTGAAAATAAGTTGGATCTGGTTTTTCTCCAATCTGAAAAAATTTGTCATATAACTTAAGAATGTTAATATTGATTGTTATGATATTATTTATTATTTGGAGTCATTTTTTTTGGATTTCCCTTTAAAAAGTCTAATGTCTTCTTGTTTTTTGTCTGGTGCCTAGATTGTCTGATTTATTGGATAGAATTTGGTTAACAATGATTCTTTTAATGTCTAAAAAGGTACAGAATCTTGTACATAACTGGTTAGAAGCTAGAAGGGTTGATGCTGACTTTTTTTGAGCTTACTATAAATTGTATTGCTTGTGTCTTTCTTTTTTTGCTGTAAAATTTATCTATTTGGAAAAAAAGAAAAAAACAAATAAGAAATTGTTAATAACAGATATATTAATAAAAGATTTTACCTTTCTGAACAATTGTTTATATTTAGTTATAATTTTGTGAGCTTTTATAGTTAAAGATAATGTATTTCTTGAAAGTTTTCTTAAAATTATCAAAAAAAACAATTTTTGAGAAATTGAAGTTTTTGCAAAAATAGTTTTTTTATTATAAAAAATTATTTTATTATTATTTTTAAATAAGCAAATATTATTATTTTATTATTTATAAAATATTAAAATTTTTTTATATAAAACAATAATAATATCTTTTATATAATTAATTGATTAATAAGTTTAATATTAACATATTTATAAAAAACTATTTAAAGTTTTTAACAATTTTATTTCAATATTAAGTTAATATTAATTTATTATAAATTTAATATAATAAATTGTAATTTTTATATTAAATTGATATTATTTTAATATTAGTTTAAAAACTTTAAAATTATTTAAATAATAAAGAAAAATATATATTAAAATTAATATATCAAAAATAATATTAAGTAATTATAGATATTTACTTAAAGTTATATATAATAAAATTTAAGAAAATATAAAAATATATAAAAATTTATTATAATAATTTATTTTTTTGAAATATAATAATACTTTTTAGAATAGTTGAATTATTATTTAAAAGATATAATAGTATTAACAATATATATTTTTAATAGTTAATTAGACATAATAATTGTTGGTTAATAATAATAATAATAGTTGTTTGAATATTTTATTATAATTAAAAAGAATATATAAACAAAACCAATTATTATATAAAGAATATTTAAAATTAGATATATTATTATAATATTTTTATTTTTTTAAAGTATAATAATATTTTTATTTTTTAAAGTATAATAATATTTTTTAAAATGATCAAACCATTATTTAAAACATATAATAGTTATAATAATATATATTTTTAATTATTATTTGAATATAATAATTATTGTTTAATAGTAATAATAATATAATTAATTATTAAAAACAAATTAATTTTAGTTTTTTTGAAGATTTTGTAATATAATAAGATAACAAAATTATTATTAAAAAATATAAATAACTTTTTATATTATTTATAAAAATAAAAATAAATTATATTAAAAATAAAAATATATGATTAATTAAAGAATTTTTAAAAATACAATATGAAAATAAAAAAACTCTAAGAAAAGTTCAAAAGAAAATAGTTGGTATAGGTTTTTTTTTATACAATTCAAAATGTAAACAAGATTTTTAATTTATTGTTTCTTAATTAAAAATTTTATCTTGATATATTAATATATTTGTTTAATATTTTTAAGGTTTTTATAATAATAAAAAAAATAATATAGAAAAAATTTAAGCAATGAAAAATAAAAAAAATATAATATTTAATTAAATTAGAATTTTGTTAGATTATAAAAGTAAAAAATAATTTGAAATATATATATATATACAATATATTAAAAAATTGTTTTTAATTATCAGGTATATAAAAGGTATTATAGTAAATATAAAATTGATTATTTTTTAAACAGCTTTATTTCAAAATTAATTTATACTAGTTTTAAATTTTTGAATTACTTTTATATTTTTAAATAAAAATATTATTTAAACAATTAAAAAAAAATAACAATAATAATTTTTTTTAATACAATAATAGATTATTAAAATTAAATTTGTTAATTTTTATTAAAATTCTTAGTTACAAAAAGTATAATTAATCATAAAACAAATCAATCTATTAAATAATACTATATATTTACTATATTGTATTTGAATTTTGCATAAATCCAAGATTATTGTTTTGTTTTTATAACAATTTAGATCTTATTTTTTCATCTTTAATTAGATTGATTTAATATATTTTTTATTATCAGTATATCTGGATTTTTAATTATTATAAATGAGTTGTAATTCAATTCAAATATTCATTTGTTTGTTTCATATTATAATTATTGTTCCTTCAATTTAAAATTAGATGCCTTCAACCAATTTTTAAACGGTGTCGTTGATTTGATTTGATTTTTTTTTTGTTCCAGACATTAACAAATCACATACTGTAAGTACCGTATATTCATGTACCATATATAATTGCAGGATGGTCGGTTAGAAATTGTTTAATCATGAGATGAAAAATGAAATAAAATTCGTGAATTGATAAATATATAATACAGTAGATTAATTTATAAAAGAACCAACAATATAAATAAAATAAGATAAAATAAAATAAATAAAATAAAAACGAATAATTTATACTCAATGTAATCTATGTATTTATAGTAAAAAGATTAAATAAATATTGAATGAGCGATATCACAATATAATTTTTTACAATAATAAGCGCATGGGTTAAAAATATATGTTTAATGTAAAATTTTTTAGTTTCCTCAAGTAAGTGTGATAGATGCGTCATTGGTGAGATCAGAAGCATGATTTTTTCACTTTTGACTAGAATGTTTCACGTTCGAAGAAATTACCGAATACCGCCTAGAGAGAGTAACATTTCTCTATAGAACGACAATAAATTAATCGGGCGAAATGGTACTTTGGCGAGGAATACGGATCATAGAAAAAAGTTATCCGATGATTCTTCGTCTTCATGAATTCCAAATTCTTTCCAGGCATGCAAAAAAGTTCGACGAGGGCAACAGATGATTTTCTGGCGTGTACACAAAATGTTTCAGACGTCGAGGCATTTCGTAATTCCAAAACTCCGATTACTGTAATGATAACAGTATAAATAAAACATTAATAAGAAAGGCTACTTTATGGACTATATATGATGACAGATGATGCCAGTCCAGGAAAATCCGGTACATAAACATGGGTAATAATTCAATATTGAATTCAGAATCCGAGTTCTTTCGTTTCTTTATAAATATTATGTAATTTTGTGCTATTAATCCCTTTCGATCACCATTGTTTTCGCTTGCTATTATGATAATAAAACATTTCACGCCAAAATCCTAAGAAGGGAGGTAAAAATAGTCTTTTAAACCGCATTTTTTTAATTTTAGGCAACGTGTATTGGTCACGTGGTAAATATCCGTAGCTCCTTTAAATTTTTCTTGTATCTTATCACAATAGTAATTGATGGTTCACGTAATCAACGAAAAAAAAGGGAACAATAGCTTTTTGTCTTTCATTTAATCAAGGATCATTTGTAATTCATTTGGGCTTAATTGGAAAGGTCATTATGCCTTCTCGGTCAAAGTTTACTCTTAACAACGCAAGATAAGTCGGCGTCTTCACAAGTTCCCAAACCTCCTACCGCCTCGGAAACCAAACCATCCCTTTTTCACAACGCCTACCAAAGTCCAAATTAATTAAAACAAACATAGAAGAAAAAAGCACAATCTCATCACAAACGGTTTGTTTCAGAATATGCCAAATTTAGAGATTGTAAAGCGAAAGGGTTACATAATTTGAAATAATGAAATTTCATTCACAAAAATATTCCGGCGCCAAAGCGAGGGCATCTGACGAAAAAGCAACGAAATATATGGAAACGGACACAGCGATACGCTATGCGACTTATTCACGTCAAAATTTTGTAAGCAATAGCCGAATTACCAAATTGAGAGTTCTTGTTGAAAAATTTTGGATAGAGTGGGTACGTTATCTCGGGATCCTTGGAATTTCCCAAAGAAGTCAGCGAAATTTTAATTAGGACGAGACGGTTTGTGATGACATTTAATTAATACTCAAGTCTTTACTAAAATTACTTTCGAAGTGCAGTTTTTCGTTTTAGTTTTCAATTAGATTTCGAGTATCTGTATATGCACGTGAATTCATGAAATGAGTTCGTGGGTGCAAGGTCAAGCATTACATGCAGCCTGACAACTTCGGGTCCTTACGAGGACCAGACGCGTCCGCTCAACATCCAGTGACGTGGGAATTGTGATGAATCAGGGTTTTTTGCGCATCGTGTTGCGTCATATTCCGATGAGTGGCAAACAGTTTCGATTTTATCACGTTCAAAAATGCATTTATTTGTATGCTAACACAAGCTGCTATTGTTTAGAATGCCATTATTTCTGGACAAAAGTCGTATGATCAAACAAGCAAATCTTGACATACTGACACAATGCCAACTCAACAAGAAAAGATGTGTCATTGTACACCAAATCTGCTCATCATTTGAATATAACCGCCGTTTTCTCGAGGTCTAAACCAAACATTTCGTCTTGGAACGCGATCGGTATCTTGATCTCGAGATTCAATTGTTTCTCGATTGCCAGCATCTAACAACAAACAAATCGCAAGGTAACGATAATAACGGTCTGTCGTATTCGACGACAGGGTTGACGGTTTGGATCCTTGGTAAGTTGTTGATCTTAAAATTTGGGGACATTGATTTGACACTGCATAAGCAACGAATTATCCAAACAACAATAAAAATTTTATTATCAAATCAATACAATAATTAACGTGGTAGATCGATAGCAGACTAGTCACTTAAGGTCAAGAATTAAAAAATATTTGTCATCATACTTTTTCTTGCATTCAGGGAACGAATATAATCTGCGTAGATAATCTCCCTTTTGAGATGTATGATTGTTTACTAATTCGAAAATCTCAATCCGTAAACTCCCAGCAGGATAAAATGTGTTGTTTGATTTGCATGATGTGGCCCGTGTGGTGCACTCTGACATGAACTTTGGAAAACGAAAGACCTATTTGTTACCAATAAATATTTGTTTACGGAGCAGTTTCATTGCTTGTTAATATGCAGTGGTGATGTTGTCAGGAACAATAAAAGAGTCAGGAATGAAGTCAATGTTTTTATTGTGAAAACTCGGCGAAATATAGTGTGAAACCATAGAAAAATTAATAAGCTTATTAGCCTCAATAAAGTGGTGCATCCCATAAGCATTTCGTTTAGCTAACGTTATATGCGAATTCCGATTATACCTAACAGGGTGAAATTGAGGCATGGATTTGTTAACTATTCGCAGTAAAATTAAACAAGATTACGTTACCTTCATGCAGTATGCTTGTTTTGCTGTTCCGGTACACCGATCAACGCAGCCCGGTATTAGATGGATGGAATACTTGTGTGTGTGTGTGTGTACGGTATATATACGGCATATATACATGTATAAAAAAAAAAAAAAACTGCTTGAAAAAGACTTTGGAAAGACATTACAAATACCCTTTTGATTAGGTTATACGGAGACAACCTGTCTTACATGTGCCATAAGTAGTAAATAAAAGGACGTGTCGATCTGAAATTGAATTTTCTCATCAGCCCACCTGTTTCTCGTATCGTGTGGGCGAAGAAAGGGGGAGACGACCGTCCTGGCCGTCGTAAGGTCTCATTAAACCTTGTAATTTAACCTTCCTGTCACCGGTGATAGGTGAGGTCTTAGGAAAATACGACCCGACGGCCCATTATGTATGTATGCAGATTTATTTGTGTCTGTGACATCTTCAAAAATCTCCGACATAATCTCATCGATCTACGGATCCCTCGAATTTTGGCTAGACCATTTCGGGAAAATATACCTCCTTGGCACGTTAACATTTTATCGGTACACACGCTGTCCAAAAAAAAATTAGAAATGAGACCACAATTATTTATGTGTTTCGGTTCATACCTTTTCAAATTAATATACATCAAACTAGAGTACGCACATAAATAATAACAATTCATTCAATAAATTTTTACAATGCTCGTATTACAATTTATGTATTTATTTTATCATTTCTTTGAAATTCGGCGGGTTTTTTTTGCCATCACTGGGAATGCATGCGGACCTCAAATAAATAGGCAACCAAATCTTTCAAACCAACCACTCTTCACGCTTCCTTTCCTTCCGAAACTTTATTTATTCTACCACCTTTTTTTCGACCTCGATTTTCAAAAGAGAGGATTTCTTTCTTTCGTCGTCTCTTGGCAATTCGTGAAGATCTCTTATCATCGTTCCTCTTGTTAGTTCTGTCAAAACAATTAAATTAATCTCTCTGTGTCTCTTGAAAACCCGGTGCCTTGAAGATATAACGAATGTCGTTCCTATTTTATGTCATGTTTCTCTCTTGGTAAGTGTTGACGACGAACTTTCTGATTAATTGATTGCTTGAGTGTGTCTCTTGTTTCCATTTTCCATGGTATTTTACCGATACGCTGCTCGCTACCTTGCTTCTTTGGACATTTATCATTCATTCTTGGTGACGCGACTGTCGCCGATTCGTTAATTGGTTCGATTGTCACGTGCCATCGCGTTTATCAAATTTATCATCTCCCATCCTCACTTATCTTTTTATTGCCCATAAAATCGGTGACCTTTTTCCCCCCATCATCCATTTCTTTTATCCTGATTCTTCCTCTCTATTTCCTCGAGATTCTGACCTTTCATTATTTGTTACGATCATTGACTCACGTTATTATTTCTCCCCTCAAAGAACTCGAATTTTGTAGATCCATCCGTAATAAATAATTTTATCTTAAACTATATATCGGAAAAGTAATACCGAATACTGGCTATAGGTGATTGATATCTTGTTCTTATCTGAGCTGCGCTCAAAGACAAGAATCCTGTATCATACATAATATTATCGTATCTTTATTTCAAAAATATAACGAATCGACGCATAATGATGGAAAATATGGGTAGGTGTCATGGGAAATTGTGTTTCGCACTATGTACGTCTTCACCCATTAGCTGATGTGACCTTCCAAAAAACCTCAGCTATCCCTGCTTCCGAATGTTATTACGAGCACAAGTTCTCCCGGTCGAATGATTCCACAGCCAAGCACCCCGTGCAAAACTCGTCTTACGGTATCGGGGATGACCTGAGACTTGTCACCTCTCCTGCCTTTAACTCGTCTTCAATGCCATCCACCCCTGGAACTCCAAATTTTCTTTCCTTTCAAAATTATCCATTTCTCCCCGGGGTTGCTTCGCAAGCGACGAGTTTAACCAACCGACCAAGGACCCTTAAATTCACTCCCAAAAGTGGTGGCGTCGGTACCCGTCTGATCGTTCACATTTACATCGAGCTTCCCGGGTCAAATTATGTTTTGAGCATGGCGTTCGGCGATATGATGGTTGAGACGCAACAGGTTGCTATGCCGGATTCTTGTTACGAACTTGTGGCCATCGTTCCAAGTCAGGAAGACGTCAAGAGCGCCAACAGAACTAAAGTTCCTGTAAATGTAATGATTTGTAATGAATTTAACATTCCAATCGATAAATGGCATCTCGGAGATTTTGTCTTTAAAGGTGTGGATTATGATCTGCCGTGGATAATACCGTCGGTTGATTTCGTTGAGTAACTTTCTTTAACTATCTGAATCATTTGAAACCATAGACAAAAAATCCCCGCACAAACGTCTCAGTAAATCTGTCAATGACCCGAATCTTGACGTGCGAAAAAATCACGTGAACAAAGGTAATTAAAAGATTAGAATTCTTTCTTCTCCGTCCGTATCTCATTCTTTGCGCTAACATCAACTTCAGCTCCCCACAGGCACCTCTCGAAGAAAAGCGGATTATATCACCCATATGTAGTTGATTGTGAACCAACGCCGCCCATCTCAAAGGTATCCTCTCCATTGAACGAAAACGATGCTGACGGTAATTATAGAAGGATTCGCTTATTCTTAATGTTATCCGCGTGGCGACTAATATATCCCAAATTTTTTAGCTTACATCGTTCAATCACAAGCGTTCGACTCTTATTCCTACGATGACTCCGTGCGAGAAACTCCAACTTTCTCCGCGCAGAATTATCGTGGTACGTAAATGATCTGCACATTTTTTTGAATTGCGACTTTCTAATGTGCCAACACTCCTTTTCACGTTCCACAGTCGACACGCTCACACCTATGCAAAGTGACACCACAGTGTCAGTATATTCTTCAGCCTGTTCAACCCCTTCCTCAATGACCGATTCAGATGATTGTAAGTTATTATTATTATTATTATTATTATTATTATTTATTTATTTATTTATTTATTTTATTTATTAATCAATTATTTATTTATTTTTCTACGTAAAGCTCGTTTCGAGCGTAGCCCAACGTTCACAAAGGATGAAAATCAAATTCCAATTTACAACGCGCCCCACACCACAATCTCCACGACCTGGGCTAACGAACCTAACACCGCGGAAAACTTACCTAGTGCGACCATTGTTAAATCAACGGATCATGTCATATCACCTATTCCTGGAATACCCCCGGGTCTTCCTCCGCTATTCCCTCCTTCGCTATATCCCTACCTTTATTATCCGGTTATCCCGTCGATCACCCTCAAAGAAAGCCCGGTGGTCCCTTCATCTGGAAAGCCGGCCCCGTCCACAGATTCGAACCTCGAAAACGATTGCAAAACTCAACTTCAAGAACTGTTGAACAGGGTCAAGCTTAATGTCGACGGCGATATACAGACGATGGCACGAGATTGGACTGAAAAGGACTTCAAAAATCGTCGAAGGTTGGTTCAGTTCATGAGACGCGTGGAAGGCGATGAAATCAATGTCTCATTCAAAGCGGTAGACCCCGAAGAGCGGCCGAGGTACGGAATATTTGTATCTTGCATTTGGTGGGAGGCCAAGGATGACTATTATATCACATCGGTTGATTGCATCTACCTGTTGGAATGCCTGACGGGAATAAGATTAACCCAGGATGAGAAGAATCGTATCCGAAGGAATCTTGAAATCTTTAAGCCACTGACGGTGGGCAAAAACAAACGAGACAGTGAAGACTTATTCCGTGTGATCATGAGCTTCCCGAATCCTAAGCCAAGAAACATTGAGAAAGACGTTAAAGTGTTCCCTTGGTCGTGTGTAATGTTGGCGTTGAATAAAATTCTGAGAAAATACATGAACGCCGGTGGTAATGGTCAATGTTACAATGGCGGTAATAAATTTGCGGAGGGCGAAAATAAATTGAATCTATCTTCTTTACAAGGCAATCAATCCGTGGATAGTGTTGGTCAAACATTCGGTGGATGCGCTCCTTTAAATAGTAGTCAATTTTTTGGAACAGGATTTCATCTTCGAGAAAATAGTCTTGCCATAGGATGTCGTCAATAATAGATGTTTAACTTAAATTGAATCTTTTGGGGGGTATGGTACTGTCAATTTTTGGGTCATATATATAGATTATACTTAAAAAACAAATAAGTTTCAATATCTATGAACTTTATATATAAGGTTGGTTGATTTTACGCAAATAAATTATAGATGTCTTGGCGAAATCATTAAGAGCGACGAAACTAGAAAAATTTGCATGTTTTGATAATCTGTCGCGTGTGTGAAAAATTTATATAGTTAATGTTATATTGCATGCGCAAACGTGATTTGACCTTGAATCTGTATCGATCAATGGTTTCTTAATGATAAATGCTAATCTAGGGTTTCTTTGAAACTCTTAAGTTTTATGTTAATAAAATGATGATCCGAATACGATAGGGATTCCGATTTAGACGCGAGAAAAAGTCTATGCACACAATTTTTTTGTGTGCAGTTACAAAGCAATAAGGTTTAACTGATCTTCCGATTGTTGTCGGTCCTAAAATTCATTTATGCACAACTTTATTTTGACAGGTTGGACACACAATTCAGCGTTAGGTATCAATCAACACCTAATTAATTAACATCACATGAATTATATGTAAATGTTTAACAAACATAATATAATAGCTTACAAATTAAGATATCTACATTATTGATCCAGAGATTTATATTAGGCATGGCGCTAGAATCTAAATTTTTTTGTGATCCTAAAAAAATTTTTTTGTCATTTCCATATTTGTCAACCAGAATCAAAAAATAAATAAATTGCGATGTCCATTAATTTTAATCTTTTCATATTGAATAATAGTTACTTGTGATGATTCTTTTCGTTATAGAAAATTTTTCTCTAACATACAATATGTAGCATGAAACATTGAGAATTGAAAAAATAGTCAATTGCATATACATAACTAATCACGACTCGATTGACATCTAAACATCATCTCTTAAATCCGTTTAAGTCACGTGGGTAATATAAAAATAAATTCCAGGCAAATTTGCTTGGAATACAGACGAAGGAAGAAAATAATAAAAATAATAATGATAATAATGAACGCACGGTTTTCCTTTAGATAATGATTTTTTATAAATAACAATAATTTTCAAATCTGTTAAATAATAATAATCACTTCTTATTATTTTGTATATATACTGTATGTACAGTATATCGCATATCGTGTATTATCTGTAACATTTTTTTATTATTTTTATCATCATTTTTAAGAATAAGAATGATGGTGATGGTGATGATGATACAAGTAAACATTATTTTCTATTATTTTTTAAAGTATAATAAGAACCATTGTTATGGGATAATTTTATTAGGATTATTATAATTAATACTATTTATTTTTAATCGCACTTATACAAACTTATATTGTATTAGTAAATCTATATGTCAGATAGGATTTTATCCAAGAGTAAAAATTCTGACATTAGTTTTAAACCATCTAACCTGTTAATTCAATCTTATCAAAATATATCTATTTTACAAAGATTATTAGAACAATTGGATATCTTTATACTTTTTATCTCAAACCAATAAAAAGATAATATATTTATAAATCTGGTTTAATGTTAGAAAATCTTTTTTTTTGGTATATATTAGTTCTTAATAAATAAACTTATTAATTAAATTAAATATTATAAATCAAATTAAAAATACATATACAGTATATAATATACTTAATAATTGTTATAAATAAATAGTTTAATAGATAGAATAAAATAAAAAATAAAAATAAAATAAAATAAAATAAAATAATGAAAAAAATATCAAAAGAACTTAAAAGAAAATAAAATTTATAATATAATATATAGAAACTTTTAAATTTTTTTTTGACAAACTTCAAAATTAAAAAAATATAGAATAAAAATAATTTTATTAAAAGAATATTACAAGAATTCAAAATTTTATTATTATTATTCTAGTTGTTCTTTCTTTTTCAAGTTTAAGAGAAAATATAATCTTTTTATAATATTTTGATCAACTTTAAGCTATTTTTAATCTAATAATTTATATTAATATAAAAAATTGATTAAAGAATTATTTTGTTATGCTTTAAATAATTATTAAAAAATTTTTATATATAAAAATAAAAGTAAAATTATTTAAAAAATTATTATATCAATTACTTTTAAGCTTTTAACAAAAAATGTTTCTTTAATCTTTTACAAATAATTACTTAAAATTATAAAAAAACTTATTAACTTGGATTTTTAATTGGTATTTCCAATTTGTTGTACTGTTAGAAATTATATAGATAATTTAAAAATTTTTTTAAAAAATAATAATATACTATATAAAAAAAATCTTCATCGGATTATATTCATTTTTCTAGAAATTTTTCTTTTATAGTAATTTTGTTAAGAAAAAATGTTTTATACTTTTTATTACAAATAAACTTTAGCTCAAGAATATAAGAATCTTCAAAACAACTGTTATAGTAAAATATAATCTTTGGTTAAAGTTTATTTAAGTTTTAAAGTCTTGTTTATCTTTTGATTGTATATAAAAAGATTTATAACAATTCTTTTTTTTTTGTTCTTTTATATTTCTTCTTATCTTTATTATATTTTATTATTTTTATCAAACTAAATACTTTTTCAAAAACATATTAACATATTTAAACGTTTCAAATCAATTTTTATATATAATATTTTCATAATAATAATTACTGTATCATCTCAAATTTCTTCAAATATTTTATTCAAAAAACTAAAATTAGTTTGCTATATTTAAATAATTATTATTTCACAATTATTCAATCAGATTTTATATAAACATTAAAACAAAAACTGAAATTAAACGTGTTTAAACTAGTTTTTCAATATAATAATATTATTAAACAATATTAATTACACTATAATTTCTTTATTAATAAAACATATATTAACAATTAAGAAACTTAATAAATTTTGATTTTTATTTTTAAAATCAAACAAGAAAACTTTTTTGAAAATATAATTTTTATTATTATTGATTTTACTATTTATTTAATTTGGTTTTAGCTCTAATTATTTTATTATTGTATATATTTTATTATTTTTATTTTTTTATATTTATTTTTAAATTTACAAAAAAAATTTATAAAATTATTTAAATAGATAGATATAGTTATTACTTGAATACAACTAGCAATAGTATTGTTTTGAATTTTTTTTTTCAATATTAGTTAAATATATATTATATAAGTAAACTAATATTTAATTTGTTATACTTGTATATAAAAGATATTATTTTTTTATAATGTATATTATATATGATACAAATTAAATAAAAAAATAATGTTTACTTACAACCCAAAAAACAATCAAATTTGATAACCATCAAATCCAAATCCTCAAACCCTATGAAAGCGTGAAGTATCTCGGCACACTAATCTCCCCCAGAAGACTTCTAAGGGCAAACAGAAAAGCTTTCATCCAAACATCAACCCAAAT